ATCAATTTTGAAGATAACTGTGGTATCTATTGTGTACTATTCGACTATGGTTAAACACTAGTGACAACTACACTGCACCACCATTCTGCTCGTTTCTGATTGGTCGGATAAAACTGTCATTCATTATGAATTTAAACTTGCTTCCACTTCATTTCCATATCTAATCTCGATAGTTTGTGAATGCCAAACGTCATCAAAATGACAAATAGATCATTGACCTGCTACTGGTACGTAGAATGCAACCATCTTTGATCTCTCACTATTCGCTGAATTTCTTCTTGTAGTGGTGGCGAGAGAGATTTGTCTAAAGTTGAAGTTCAATGTTGTCTTTGTCTTCGATACTGTCATCAAGAATGTTTATCTCTAACTACTGGGTAACACATTTATTGAAAATCTCTTCCATCGATGAAGTCTTCTTTTTCTTTAAAGACCAATGCTTCCTTTCATGACAAATTATCAATTCGTGTGTAAAGACTGTTCACAGAACAAAACTGATGAAAACTTTCTTAAAAAAAACGCAAGTATGTTTTGTATGTTTAGTTTTCGAACAGATGATGAAAATATTCGGTGTTTGTAGCATTCAATCAATTATGCACGACTGCATTGGCTAATTTAACTCAACAATCAGCGACGCAAACATTCTTTTCGCGAGATCGAGTATGATATTTCTGAAGAATTGATTTGAATAACGTTTACATGTAGGAAATTATACCATTCATCGATGAAAAATGGGATTTATTAACGTTTTCACAAAAGAAAAACAAACCAACATTACATGCATCAGTTTACAAAGCATTAGTGAGACGATTGATTTATCAATAGAATGAATTCCTAACTCACTGATTTTTCTTTTTAGGCACGTGAAGATCTTTTCGTTTCATCGGAAATCAACGGCGAAGTGATGATTGCATTACGTGAACGATCTTTAGAAAGAATCGGCCCAACGAATGAAAAACCTCATGAATTCATCAATTCCAACATTAATCGTGCTCAATCTCCAGGTACATCTAATCTTACAAATTCTTTTCTCTCATCGTCAAACACAATGTCTGCTCAATCGAATCAATCTGGCAACGGCACATTTCACGGATCATCGTCAGCGAATAGTGTTTCATCGTTAGCAAATAGTGAAGTGACACGGCGAACAAGTAAACGAAAACTAGCCAATGAGAATTCGATGAATGCCAAACGACGCGGCGAAGTACCGAAATTAGAACGATTAATACCAAAAACTTTCCCACCTGAATATCCGTTCAACAAAGAGGGATATAGGTTTGTATGGACAAGTCAGAAAATACATTATAAATATCGTCTGTTCAGATATCATTTAGCAGAACCGGATCCACACTCACCATTTCGACAGAAATTTGATGAAACAGAAGTATGGGCTGGTAAGACTGTTCATCAATGAAATTTTTCGATCGGATTCGAATTAAATTCTAGGAAAGCCAATTCCTGGACATTTATATCGAACATTTATTGAAACTGAATGCTTACTATCGTTGAACGATCGAGGTACTATTCAAAATGTTTTCTCCACCTCATCTCAGCTTCTCTTTAGCTCAACAACTGAAATTAAACGACGATCGGTTAACAGTGACTGGTGACAAAGGATACTGTTCTGTTCGATCAACGCATCGTAAGTTTTGCTAGACTGAAATGGTTTTCACCTATCGAATTGTTTTCAGCGGTTTCACATGGTGCATGGTATTACGAAGTGACAATAACGTCGATGCCTCCAAATACAGGAACGCGCATTGGTTGGGCTCAACATCTAGCAAATCTACAAACACCGATCGGAACAGATAAATTCGGTTATTCATGGCGCTCGAGAAAGGGCACCATCTTTCACGAAGCTTGTGGTTCCCATTATTCGAATGGTGGTTATGCAGAAAACGATGTGTTAGGATTTTTGATCATTTTACCAGAAGTATCCCATCCAGATGTAATGTTACCACGGAAATACAAGAAATTAGTGAGTTATTTGCATGGTGGAGACGTATTCTAAACGAACTGAGTTTGACTTTAGCCATTGGTAAAGTTCAAGAATTATATCTATTTCGAAGAACGAGATGACTTACGTGCAGGAGAAGCAAGTTTGAAGGCAACCAACGGAGGAAAAGTAAAATTAAAGCGAAAAAAAACACCTTTTATTCATGCTCCCTGTGATTACAGATTATTTTCTACAAAAATGGTGTTAATCAGGGTGTAGCGTTTACAAATATCTATGAAGGAAACTATTACGCAGCTATTTCGATTTATTATGGTGCTACGGTAAACATACGTTCGAATTATCTTTAATTCTCAAACGATAATTGTACTTCAGGTATCTGCCAATTTCGGCCCAACCTTTGTTCATCCACCAACTGATAGTCCAATTCCATGGAAACCGGTTTGATCATCCTTCCATATCTATTATCGTTTTTCGAACATGCATTTCTTTTCTTCTAGTTAACCGATTCCATTCCAGAAACATACTGTACACATGCATTGAACGATCTACTCTTTCATATTTCACACGACGGTAAATTAGGTCTTGAGTGACTGACATGCTGCTCTGCTAGACTGATTACCCACCTACTTGTAGAAGGTCTAATATTTATGAATATATTTTCTGTGTTCGGTTTTGTGATTAACTCGATTTTGCCTTTTCCTTTTCTTTTGTCTACTCTTGCATATATTCGTTTTCTTCCTGTTCATATGCGTGTATTTCTTGCATGTTGCGTATTTCTGTTCGACGTTCTGTGTGTAACACTAGATTGAGGAGAAAAACGAACATCAGTGTTCACGCCAAATTCTACCACAAGTAAAACAAGTAGAATATATAAATATAGAATTGACGTTTAAACCAAACTTTCTTACTTATGCAAATAAAACTGATTTGCTTATTACGATTATAAAAGACAGAACGGCTACCATACATATTTAGTATTATTGTTTAGAGCAGCACGTTGATTTCAACGATCCAACAACAATAGGCAAAGTAAGAATGATGGACATACACTTGCTTAAAAGTTTTTTCTCACTGAATAATCAATAATACATTGAAAGTAACAAGGGTTATCATCTTCACATAGCGTGCACACACACATATGTAACTTCCTGCTTACGATTAGTAGTGAATATCTGCAATGAAACGCTTTTGTTTTCATCTAGAATTCTGGTCGAAATTCAAGCCGTGATCGATCTCGTCGGCTGACTACACTCAGTGCGCCGTTATTTGAATAACACTCAAACTGTTTTTGTGTTTATATCAGATGTTTGTTAATGGTTTTCTTTGTTTTAAACACGAACAGTTGTTCGATATTGCAAATAATGAATAGAATGATTTGATTTCGATGTACTGTTTCTATAGAAAAGATTTGTTTTACATTCACATAAGTCAACAGCTTGAATGGATGAATATAGGCGCAAAAAATGACAAGGAGAACAAAGAACAATATTAATCTACGACAGAAATGGGGAACTGTTCATCTTGATCCTGTTTAACGGAGTGAAAATGGAAGAAGATTAGCATGAAGACCACTGGAGAAAAGTTTGTAAAGAAATAGACCATAGGCTGTAAATGTAGCAACTGCATTGATTGTATAACCAAATGTACGTGCTGGGTGATTGATAGCAGCATCAAATGTGTAACGGCTAATGAATGACGAAATGAGAATTAATGATGATTCATAGATGACGATTGTAGCAATGAACTCACCCGAGAATGAAGAGGCCGGACAGAGCTGGAATAATACGAAGATTATTGGATTCGAGGACTGAAGCTAAAGCTAATTTAGCGGCAGTGAAAGCCAAGAATGATTCGGTTGTATTTGTTAAAATTCGTTGAGTCATTTGTAAATGATGATTTCCTTCGGATGATGCAGGTTCAATTCCATCTTAATAAGAAAGTGATATTCATTCTGTTGTACCTTATTCTTTACGAGCTTACATTTAGCACGAACACCGATGACACACCAAACGGCTGTAACCATGGAGAGTCCCTAAGAACGAAAAACGACCATGCACACGTAATCCAGATCATCAATAGATTTACTTCAAGACCAGTCCATCGGAGAGCATCTATAGAAAGTATTCATAGTTACTGTAACAAAAGTCGAACAAACTGATCTTACAAGCAACACGATCGGCAGCCGACGAAAGGATAGGAATACCAATGGCGGGAATATTGCGGTTAGCTAAAAGAAGGAGACCACCGCTAACGCCGAGACCAGCCAAGATGTATGGGCCGTTCTTTTGTAATTCATACTCAATTGTACGAGCTGTCTCACCTGGTCGTGAGGTGGTAGCACTAGTCTTAGAGAGGCAAAGAAACACGATAGGAGATTCCTGCTAAGAATTCTATAGAAACATACTGAATAAGCCATTTCGTTTCAATAGGATTCGTAAATTTAGATTTCTGAAGATACATAAAGGCATGTTAATATCAAATAAAAATCGATTGATTCGATAATTCTTTGTAAGCGCACATGTACACCCGAGTCAGTCGGAAAAGACGAGAAAATGGTTCGATGTAACAGAAATAATGACGATGAAAAGGGCGCAAGCAACACGCCGACGGTCGAAGAAGAGAGAAAGAAAAAGGAGAATAACAAATATCGTAGCTGTCTGACTACACGGTTTATGCAAGGGAGATCGGGGTCAACAAGAACAAGAAAATCGAGAAGAAAAGAAAGAAAAAGTAATCGTAATAAAAGGTCTATGGACTCTGGTTTTCTCCACTAAGCTACCGATCTGTTTTGCTTTCCATGTACTGATTAACTGTTTGAGAGAAGGCAAGTCAAGCAATCATATAGAGCAATTCGCTGTTCAAACATTTATCGATTACTCGAGTAACCTAACAACCTCGATAGATATACTGCTCAAGGCAGAGATTTTTCATACTTATTATTTCGTTTATACTAAAGAAAGATTCTAAATCTAGATGAATATAATAATAATGATTATCATGAAAATGCATCTAATACGAAAGTTAACTTTTATCAATGAGAGTTTATTCAGCATCGAACATTTCTTGGATAGTCACATTGATCTGTGAATACGTTGTATCGCAGGGATGACGGGCAATCCCGACTTAATAATTGAGCGCTTGTTTTTCCCCCATCTGAAATATATTCATTCTCATTTAGCTGCAGGTGAAAGTTTCCTCGATTTACCTTCGTAATAATGAACACATTCGAAGTATTTGCCCTTTATACAATTGTATTGATCCGTAAAACGACCGTTGGAACGACATCGAAAATATTCTATTCAAATAGAAAATGATCACATATTAACCGTGCAGAAATTTCGAAAATACGAACCAATTTCACAAAACTGTCCTGTGTACCCTTGTTTACATAAGCAATAGGCTTTGTCGGGCGAGTTTTCATAACATGTGCCATCATTCAAACATTTAACTTCTCGACAACTATTATCTGTGAAAACAAACCGCTCATTGATATTCGACATAGAAGAAAATTTTCTCACATAAAATATTCTCACACAAACGACCAGTGAAACCATTCGGACATGTACATGTTTGTGGATCGATTTCTGAACATGTACCGCCATTTCGACAGGGACAGATTTTCGTATCAGTAGTGTTTGTTGCAACTAAATTAGAATCCATGCTATAATCTGCCGCAAAGTTGTGTGAAATTGATTACCTGAAATTGGTAAACACTGTGATCGAAAATTACCATCTGGACAGGCACATATAAACGATGATTGAAGATTGTAACATATACCACCATAGAGACCTAACCGATTATTAGATCGTGATTGATACCAGTATTTTTTTCCAAAAAGTATTTCACTTACACGGATAGGATTCACATGGATTTGTTACTAAACAAATATCGAAATAAACGGTGATGCTATTCAAATGCAAGCTTACAAGTTTCACAGTTACGTCCAGTGTAACCAGACACACACAAACATCGATTACCATTTAGTCCAATAAGACACTGACCATCGTTCAGGCATCCTTCATGGTTCAATGGGTTGCATACGTCTGTAGAAAATGTACTGGCCTGAGGAACGATTGAAGTCGTACTTGACTTTGCAGAAGTCCCTATAGGAAGAAGTCGACGGAAGTTTTCATCGAGAGTATTGTAAATACATCATTACTTGAACATGATGTGGCAAATTCTCCATCTGAACATAAGCATACGTATGGAAATGATGGGTCATTGATTGGAAAGCATTTGCCTGCATCACATAAATTGTCTGGACAAGTTAACTGTATTCTCGCTATTTATAGAAAGATAATTGAATACATTACAATCAAATTCAATGAACATACTGTCACAGAATCTTCCCGTCCATGTTGGTAAGCAATCACATATGAAACTGGATAAGCCTTCGATACATAATCCGTTGACACAAGGACTCGAAGCACATACATCACGAGTAACTATAAACAATTCAAATCGATTAATTTATATTACCCAAAACAAGCAAGGCAAACGGATTTACTATTGCAACTTGTTAGTGTAATAGTGTCATCATCACATCGACAGACATAACCATAGAGCAAATTTGGTACAACTTCACAAGTACCTTGACCGCATGGATTTTGTGCACATGGATCTAATTCAGATGAAACACATGATTACCTATGTCAATCAAATATACTTCTAAGACAAACCTTCCGATGGACACGGTAGTATCGTGTTGGAACCATTTTGGCATCGACAATAGTATGGTAGCGTAGGATTCTGTGTTTCAATGCACATGCCCGAACCACAATAGATAGAATCGCAAATATCTATAGTAAATTTAGATCTGATGATGCATGGAAGTATTCCGTTGTCAATGCAGTTACCTTCGCTATGAACCAAGTGGTGCTGAACAGCGAACAACATGAAGATTATGAGCATGTTATATGAACAGAACATTCTCTGATAATGAACAAACGACAAGTCTGTGGACAATCAATTAGTTCGATCTTTTTTGCTCTCAATTTTTTGTCATACATATTCGTGTAAGAATGTTTTATTATGATATCAATTAGCATTTCAAATCGTTCGAACACGTCGTCTGTCTCGTCAATAGCTTTTACTATAGGCGTGGCTACATTCACCACGTATATATTTCAGAAATGGATACATCAGTATAGACAATGTGATCTTGAAATAAATGGACACTTTGTGTAATATGATCATCGTTGTCGAACAAAATGATGTACGTATGTTCGATTCTTTGCGCATTTCAATAGATGTTAATTTAAAAGCGAAAATCATTACTTCACTATTCGTTTTCAACAGAAATGTAAATAAATATGTAAACGCTGATTTCTGTTTTAAATCAGAAGAGAGAAATTTTTTTTTGATCCGTCGCTAAGACACACATTACATCAACATTTTTTCAATTCTGTCATTTTTCTCAATCGTTCTGTTTGATTTCTCTCCATAGAAATTGATCGTCACTTTCCATTTCTATTATTTCAAATTTTTCCTTTTAAACAACGGCTTTTTCTTCTCCATCATTGAATACAGCTCTCTAATTCTAATTGACAAATCAATTTGACTTCAAGTGTGTCGAAAGTAGTCTTTTATACAAATTAATCACGTACTTTCTCTGCTCGTCGTCTATTCAGTTATTGAAATAATTCATTCGGATTGCAATTGTTACATCTCATTGATTGTAAGTGAAAAAAAAAGTAGTCGACTTGAAATGCTTCAGTTATTTTAAAGTAAATATATTACACATTTGTGCAGATTGATGTTTAATCGTTGAAACACACTCACGTATCTATGTCTTAGCAAAGTCACCAAGAAAATGAATGCAGATTACTCATTCACCGATCCAACGTGGAAGTTACCTTCGATAGCAAACCCTAGTAGTATGCACTCTGGCACGTATGATGCATCACAATTACCACCTAGCCAAAACGTGAATGATGATACGGTAGGTTATGGTACATAGTTGATGTTTGGTTTTTCTCCCAAGTTTAAAGTACAAGTTAATAGTGTCTTTGGTTTCGTCTTCTTTTTCTCGTTCGTAGTCAACTTGGAATAATCAACCAAGTAATGTTCGATATAATCCTCCAATAAATCAGCAAGAACAAGGAGAGTATTATAGTCAATCGGATCCGTATTCTCAACCACCACCACCTCAGTCTTATCAGCAGCCGGAGCAACAATTTTTTCAATCGGGTCCTCCTGTTTCTCAACATCATCCTCCTCCTCCTCCTCAACCTCAATCATATCAACAGCCTGAACAGCAGTTTTTTCAACCTCGTCCTTCTGTCTCGCATCTTCCTCATCAACCACATCAACAACATCATCAACAACAACAAGAAAAACAGTTTCCCCAACCCGTTCCCCCTGCTTCTCATCTTCCTCCTCCACCATATCAACAACCAGAGCAGCAGTTCTTTCAACCTGGTCCTCCTGCCTCGCACCCCTCTCATCAATCGTATCAACAGCCAGAAGAAAATTTTATGCATAATCGATTTCCTCCATCTCGTCCTCAAATTGGAGAACGGTCGAAGCCACCTGGACCTCCTGCTCCCTCCCAGCCTCCTCAGTTCTATCAACCCTCAAGGGAACGTTTTATAGAACAGAATGCATCACAACCTCCGCCAGTGCCTCATCCTCAGTTCAGTCAACAATCCACTAATCAACACAGAAATGTCGTCAACCATGGCGACAACTTTGATTTTGCGCATAATACTAACACTGAATATCACATGTCAAGACAACAACAACAACAACAACAACGTAATCATGGACTTCCCAACGAACAGTATAACAATCAAGGAGCTAATTTTCCACCGTTACCTCAACCAGCACCCAGACGTTTACAAAATGCCGATCATAACCATCAATCATTCTTTACTGATTTTGCACCTAACCGAGAGAATGATCACTCATTGGAAATGCACAACTTTGAACAGAAGACGAAGTCACATGGTCACTCGAGTAACGATGATATGTTCGATTCGATCCATTCCAATAATCATCGTTCAAATAAGATGAATATTCACGAATATCTTTATGGACTGTCGGTCGCTGATTCTGGTTAGTTTCAAAAATACTGTTTCACAAAATGAAAACAATCGACTTCTGTAGGTAGCTATGTAAAAACATTCAAAAATCAACGCCGTCTCCTAAGTGATGAACGAAACAATCATCGAGGAGTGATGAATGAATATAAAAGTTTTCTTCAAAATGGTGGTTTCGGTCCCCAATTCGGCAAAGTTAACCAGCAGACACTGCAAGAAAAGGTATTCACTGATTGCCTACATTTTAACATTCGTATATATGTCTTTTCTTTGTAAGATGGAGATAGAAAATAAGAAGAAGTTATATTCAAGACAAGTCCGAGCGATCAACCAACAGAAAATTGAAGATCAAATGCGATTGAAAAACAGCGGCGAACAATTACGAAATCGAACATACGCCGCGCCTGTCATTCAACATCGTCGAGTAAAATCTCTCACTTCTTATCCGAAAATCAAACATTGTCATGCTCTCTGTTTTCAGCAACATGAACTTACTTCTCACCTTTTATTCACACCGGAAGTGAAAGAATTCGAACGAAAAATCAAACGTGATCATGATGCCAGTTGTAAATGTTCTTTGCATTCACGACCATTTCATTCGTCGGCTTAACCGCAAGAGAAACCAGAAACCGGGTTGTAGATACTTGTTTGTTAATTCTAATAAACTAGTTACACACTTATTTTTCTATTCGAATGAGCTTGTTTTGTCTCATTTATAATATTACACATATTGATGTTTTCTATGACATTGCGGGCGATCTTCAATCGCAAATTAGTTTTTCTAGGATATGACAAAACCGGATGTTGTATCTCGACGAGTGTCAACAAAACGAAATGTATTGGCCTCGTCTATTCAGAATGACGCTGGAGATTCTTCAATCAGTAATCTATTGTTAGACATCGACAACGTCGTTTAAAACGAGGAATATTTAGTGCTCACTAATCATCCATATCTAATAAAAGAGTCACTCTATAAAAGAGCACAACGTGTTTTTTTCACTCTGCATGCAGTTCATCCAGGACATGGATGACATTGTACGCGGGCCTGGTTTTGACTTGAGAAATTCCTAGGAGGATAGTCGTTTGATTCGAAAGGTTACTATCAATTCTGTTCCAGATTCATTCATAGTAAAAACTAATAAGAGCATTATCGCTTCAAACATTTTCATCTACAAGGTCACGGGCAAAATAAATCTGAGTCATTATCAAATAATCATGAGTTTTATTTGACACAAAAAACTCTTTATGATCTTGTTGATAAGAGAGAAAAACCAACGTTTCTCTCATCAGTTGTCTCGTCTTCTTTGCTAATAAAATATTTATTTAGATAATTATCGAAATGTTAGTTCTCGAACAACTCGTGCACGAACGCTTTTTTTACTATGTGTCAGTTATGATATCTGCCAAGCATAATAGAACTTTTTTCCTCTGACAGTTTTTCATTACTCGGCTCAAAGAGTAGTGTAGAGGATGGAATTTTGCTGGCGAGTTGCTCATGCGTAATAGAATCGAATTGACGTTTGTTAATAATCAGTTATTCATCTTAATTATTTCTTCTTTTTAACTTTTACTTTCGCGACAAAATCAGAACTAAATCACAATCACTAATCGTCATTGCAGCAACGAGCAAACAATACACATTGTATTAGTTTTTTTTCAACGAAAGAAGAATGCTTTTCCTGAATAGTAGAAGAAATACGCTCGTTTCCTTACTGACAGAAAAAAGGAATTCTTAGCAGAATATGCATTAACTGTTTTAAAGAGATTCTCGTCTCATTAAAAAGATACGACGGATTTGCTTTGGATAAGTCATCGTTCGATTTGTTTTAATTAACAAGCACAAAAAGCCCGTTAGCAAAGTGAAGGGAAGAGAAAGAATCGAAATAACTATCGATTGTACTGTTGAGTGAACTTGGGCTCGTCTGATTACGCTTTATTTAGCGCGCCCACGTTTCTTATCATCATCGATTGAGAAGAGAGGCAGAGACAACATGATGCTCTCCGTAAGAAATTCAATCGGTATTCTATTCGCGTAGCCAAAACCATGCGTCGACCTTCGATTTTGATCGAGTTTATGTTTGATGTGAAAAAGAAACGAGCGAGAGAAAGCACGTAAATCCACACTCATTTCTCTTTATCAAATCTCGTTCTACTGACACATTAGAAAATGAGCGAGAAAAGCACGTAGTCTTTTTCTGCTTCATAACAAAGAATAGTTTTTAGAAACCGGAAGGCTACATGATGGCAGCAAAGGTGTATTATTTACATTTTTCCCCTTTTTTTTTCTATTTCTTTCTATAATCATTTTTTCCTCTTTATTCAACTAATAGAGTTAGAAGGAATACGAAGAAAAGATCAATCTTGAACACTCTTTGGCTATGCTCGATGACTTTTCTTTTCCTTTCAGATTTTTCTTTCCCTCTTTCTCTCTAGTCTATACTCCAGTCTTCACTTCAATTCTGTCGTTTCCCTTGACACAACAGCACAACGAATAATAAATAAAGCCATCATGGATTCTCATTTCATTTAATAATTAATCAAGTTCGTGTGTTACTTACGCTTCTTTCCTTCGAAACAGTTCCAAGTCAGTCTACTACATAGAAAAACCCGAAAGAAATAAGGTAGATGTTCTATACTTGACACTGCACGGTCTACAGAAGAAACAAGTACGTGTCAATAAAAATTAGAAGACTTGGAGGATAGAGAGAGAAACACAGCTTTCTTTCCGTCAGTTGAGTCAGTTAGACTTCAATCTATGAAATACAACAGAACAACAAGGACTAAATATTTCTTTTCATTTCCTCTAAAGCCTATATTCGATTTTAATTAAAGATATTCATCCATTTCCTGTTGGCTCACTTTCGACTAATTGATGAAAGTGTTACTATTTCTGATATGTCCGTTTCTTTGTAGTCGATACATTTACAATGATTGATTCAATTATATACGGTTTGACAGTTGTATTGGTAATTATCACTGCCGATCCAGGTCCACCAATTGATACCGGTCCCTATGCACCACAGCCGCCGCCCGCATATAATTACTACGAATATCGATCTCAGCAGCAACAACCAACACCTTCACCCTATACTGCTAAACGAAATCAAAATAGCAACAATTACCCTGAGCAACCTGCTCAATCATCGTCAATCGCAGCTACGTATGCAAATACACAGAGGAAAACATCAGCAAATCAATGTAAATTGCATATTAATTGCCCAAGTGAGTCTTTCGTGAAAGTATAACAAGCAGATGTTTTCAAAGTCTGAATTTTAGACGCTCGAAACCGGGTTACACTCGATATTCAAGGTCCTGATGGTCAGTATAACTCAACCATATCGCTACTATTCGAAAAACTAAGTACACTCTTTTAATTTTTAGGACCACCCGGCCCACCTGGTAAACAAGGCATGCAAGGTCCGAGTGGTCCTCCAGGTCTTCCTGGACCGCCAGGTAAGTGTCGAAATGAGAGACGAAATACACATCATTGTTCTTTCTTCTTATTTGAGGTCGAGATGGTTATTCTAATTTAAAATCAGCCTTTTTTGTCGCATTGAATAAAACTTACTCTCTACAAGAAACATCTGCTATCATCGTCTGGGACGATGTTATATTAAATAAAAACTATCATCTGAATAACAATACTGGTATCTATTATGCACCTATTAGTGGCTTGTATGAATTTAGTTTAACCGTTTGTGTACCAGCAAATCATATTGTATGTTATTCGAGGAAAACTAAATGCGGTTTTGTATATGCACATTTTGTTTTGTATTTTCAGGCATCTGTGTCTTTGTGCAAAAATACAGAAAACGTTGTACCATTGTGGGTTGAAGGATTTTTAACAGCCGTCAAGAATCAAAAGGTACCTATCTGGAACACAGCATCAACGACCGTTGTCTTGTATTTACATCGTGGTGATCGAATCTACATTCGTGCCCAATCACGTGAAGATGGAGATTATCATTTTAAAACGTCATTGTACGGCTGGAGATACTCAACGTTTGGTGGATTTTTAATACATGAAGACAATTAAATAGATTGTTTCTCTACTATCGTCTATGTGTGATATAGTTTATGTACCCTTACTTGAACCTTCTTCTTCTTCTTCGTAGTTGTATGGAAATAGACGAAGGCACTATTGAAAGAGAATGTGAAGTATCAAAGCAAGATCACAAATTCTCCTTAAATAATGCTTTCGTTCGATTGAAGTTTACTACTGTTGAAATAAATCTGGATGTGCTTGTATTTATACTATTGTATATATCTCTCTCTCATTCTCTGGTCGAATAAGAAATCACCGTACATTAAACGCATTCAAGCATGGATTGCCGGTGACGCGAGAGAGTGAGAGAGAGAAAGAAAGAAAAAAGATAATAATGACTAGCTTGATCAATACGTATAGTCATCAGTCATCGCACACATATCTATCCATTCATTTAACGCCCACATTCATTGCTCGAAGGTATGTTGAAAACAAACAGACCGAACAGTTGATATTATCATGTCACATATATTTTACCTATTAGATATCCTGTCAACTATCTTTCTTTAGTTGAAATAGAATAAAATACCAATGAATCATATATAATTGACAAGATGATTTCTAATCGTATCTAGCGGACGAAGAGACAAGCTTAGACGATTATCGTTTTGATAGGTTCAAGTCATGCAAACATGTGAAAATGTTTTATATCAAGCATACTACTCAATCATTGTCGAATGTGTTTTTTGACATTTATAATATAAAAATCTTCGTTTAATGAATTGAGTCTGTTTTGCTTTATCGATCGATGTGTGACATTTTTAATAATCGATTTTTGTCGTTATATGTTATCTAAATAAGTTTGAAGCGAAACAAATGTATTGAGCTAGCCTGAGATATAAATGAACGGATCATTCAAAGAGAAGAAAATTAGGTTGTTTTTCATGCATGGTAAACATGGTTCACGTAGAGAATTAGAGCAAGGAACTATCAGACGAGAACATGTTCAGCATGAGATACAGATGCAAATAAATAAACGAAAACAATTCACTGACAGAAAACTACCAAATCATATCGATGAACATCAGCATATTCATGTTCGTCCACTGATTGTTAAAAGTGTTGTCCGAGTTATCAAATAATATCGTTCGAAAGATTAGAAGGGAAATATACATGTAGAACTAATACTCCCGATGAATTTTCTCAGTCAGATGATCGAGAAAATGAATATCGTCTTTTATCGAGTAGACAGTTGAAAGTTTTATTCGAAAAATATAATGTTCAGCTCTGCAGTTATGCTTCTATGTGTTAAAGAAAGTCTCGTTGTTTTCTCTTCGCTTTTGATTAACAGAGGCATGTTAGTCGATGATGAGGTAAACGTGGATGCCAATCCATATGAATCGAATAGTCACCACGATACGGTTGACGAGCAAGTGGCCACGGACAGTTTGTATGACTATGAGTTCGCCGTTGAAAATGAACAGTTGGCCGATTGGGAAAGCGTACATTCCGTTTGAGAACAGGCTGATCTTCGGACACTTGAATATCCGTTTCTGGCTTTTCGAGAGCTCTGTTAACACCGCTATATTCTATATTGAACAAAAGCAAAAGAAGAATATTTGACG